ACTTTAGGAAATCATCTAGTTAACTTTTAAGAAACTCAGAACAAATGTAAGGATAAAAAAGTTAAACTAACCAAAGCCTTAGTAGTTTTACTTAACAAAGAAGGAATTGTAATAAAAACGCAAGAGATAACAAATAAATAAGAGACAGAAATGTTTCTCGTTATAACTTTGCTCGGACTTTAAGTCTTCAAGAAGAGGTTTATGCAATACCTCAGTTAGCTAGAGCGAGTTTCATCGCAATCGGATGACTAATGCGTCTACAAACTTCCAACAGTTGCAACCTATGTCGCAAAGCTTCTGCTTATTGAAAAGGAAAATAGGAACACACTTAACTTTTTTTTATATATATATTTGATGGGCCGACGTTTAACCACTATCTGGCCTGGTGGTGGTAAGCAATGATGCGGTCTACGATGAAGAATGTCAAACCATAGCTTGATAATACTTCATCAACCTATAAACCTTCATCAACCTAGCTTGATAATACTTAGCCCACAGATATAGATAGACCCTATATCTGTGACTTAGCCGAAAAATCGATTTTTGACATTAATTGAATGGAGTTTCTATCAAAACCAAAATCGATTCAGATTTTGGACAAAAATCCGATTTATTTCAGCCGCAAAATACCTCTAGTACAAATTGAATATATAAAAACATCTGTAACTGTAAATCATAATATAAGTATTGACTAGTTATAAAATTGGGTGAGAAGTTTTATTTTTGACGTTGGGAAACTTTCAAAAGGCGCCTAGATTTTTGGGGCAAAAGACCGTGGGTGAGGCCTAGACTAACTACAAACAAAAACTTACTTAACTATTGGACTACATACTTTAATTGTGTCCTTTAGCTATTTTGAGCTTTAACTCGTCGAGTACCGGTTTTGTAGACACAATTATAGAACAATAGGTTGCGGTCACCGGTGACCGCTTGGTGTTTGACAGTTTAAATCCTACAAATCTCATGATCTAAAAGTGAGAAAAATAAATTTTTAGTAGTTCAAAGGAATGAAAATGAGGCAATAATAAGTTAATAACCCAGTTGTCGCATAGATAAACCTAGAGCTGTGTGTTTCAATTAAAACTTTGTTCGAAATTGGGAATTACGGAATCCGCGGGATTGTAGGTTTTAGTTAACTAATAGGAACTTAATTGTTAGATACTGGAACTTGTTCCGCAAACTAGTTAGGAGTCAAGTGGCTACTGTTTGGTGTTTCGTGACTAAACAGGGGCTGGCTAGAGTTTATCGGGTTTATCGAGAGCAATGTGAACTTTAGATTAAGTATGTGGGTGACGTGGGTGTCCGATCTGAATTCAGCTCGAAACATGGCATAAGCATAATGAGGTGTAAAGATCTGCATTGACGGGACAAAATTTAATAAAACTCTTTAGTAAGTATATACCTAATATGAATGTTCCTTTTTCAATAGTTACAATAACCTATCATGTATAGTTAGATCGGCTATAGATATTTAAGACGTTAAAAGAGTTGCAGTTCCATTGGAAGATCACTGATACGGTAAGTTGGCTGACATGGGTTCGAAACCTTATTATTTTTCAGCAAAATATGCCGACAATAATGATACGATTGCTGGAGTATCTATTAGTAATGAATAATTATAACAGCACATTCCATTCGGGGTTAATAAAGAATCGTATCGACAGAGTCTGTTGAATAGAAAATTTTATCCCCGAAGGGGTAAGCAGAGCCGCACAGTACAGCACTTAAAGCCACTGTACAATGTAACACCCATTTTTCACTATAATTATGTTATAAGCCACATGTAATAGGAGTTGAGCCTATTGTCATATGATTTTGAATAGGTAGGTACATACTACGTTCTAATTGCTTTTTTAATCGAAATAAAAGATAGAGAAGCCCTCCAATATAAAAATATAAACATTGGTGTGTAGAAAAATCCTTTTAATTCTTAAAACTTCGTGTACGAAACCAAATAGTTCGTGGGTCTGTGGGAAATCCCGTAACAGCACCGACGCTGTGCAAACTGGCGTGTCTTGCTATAGTTACCTATTAAGTTGGCAAATTGAACCGGAGATTACACCGACTGAATAAGTTATTTATAGCTATATCGAAGCCTAATTAATACCCTAATAGATTTCAATTAACTATGCTTCCGTCTTACTTTACTAGGGTGATAAATACTTAATATACACGGGTCTATCTATCGATGAGTTTGTTCGTTTGAAAGCTCTCTTCTAGACTACTGGTCCAAATTGAAAAATTCTTTTTGTGTTGGATAGTCGTACTACATTAATCGAGAAAGGCTGTATAGGTTATAAAACATTTAGTTCCGATGATTAGGAACCAAGTAGCGAGTAAAATCATGCGGAAGCATAACGCTGCATTTTTGTCTGTATTATGTATAACAGACAAAAATGCAGGTATAGAAACATTGTCACGTTATTTTTAGTTGCAGCAACATTCATATGTTACAAGGTAACATCTGAAGTCATGGCAATACATATGATGGACACGATCTGATGCTCACAAGGAAGGTCAATGCAACACTTACAGCGTATTAGATATTAGCATTCTACCAAGTAATTGCATAGTCAAGGTTCGTATTGTAGGTGCAGAAATAAACTTAAAATGTTGAAGTTGTTTTTCGTTTTAAGATGCAACGTTGCAAGACTGTTTACGTGCTTAGCTAAGTGGATACTTTTCTCAACAAAATAATATTATTTTCTTCAAAGACTTTGATTAAGCTTTTACTAAGCGTATGATTTAGTTATTTTTCCTAGCCTTTTATCATCTAAGGCGTAGTCGACAACGAGTTTTAATTCGTGACTTTTTTATTGTCTTAGGACGAGGCAACTGTCGTTGTCTATTTACAATCAGGTAGTTAACTATATTACATATTAAAAATCTAAGTAATTTAGGTATCGTCTTTGGTCGTAAAAATGTACCTTAGTTTATTTTTTATCTAGCTAACTAGGACCACGTGTATGTAATGGTCTTCGTAACGAATAGGTATGTCTGAGCTCATGAACTATTACTCACATACATATAATATAGAGACTTAGAATATACATTATGTAGTTACATTATTTCCCTAAGGCCTTTCTGAAGCCAGTAGGCTAGTACTAGGTAGCTACCACCTAATATGTAACACGTTCTTTATTAGGACCACAGATAACTATCAAACGTACTCTGATCGTAGTTCTTTAGCGGGAATTTTCGTAGTAGATACTTTTTATCTCAGTACTCAGTTAATAGCTTTTTAACGAGATGTCCCATCTTTTATTTGCATTCGAGTTAATTTGGTAGGTAATGTAGCATTGGTCTGGCAACAAAATGTGGTGGCGATGGCAGGGTTGGTGCCACAGAAATATTCTTTAATATATCTTTAATAAATCTAGGCGTCTTTTGGAGGTTTCGCTCCGTCAAAAAACAGGTAGGTAGGTATACGTAGGTAGTAAGACAAATCTGTATGTCCGATAAGCAATAAGTGTTAACTAACTGAGTAGTTATTTGATTATACATAGACAGGGTACTCTAAGTATACCGAAAGTGAATGAGTACGAATCGGAATAGGTATTCGATAGAGCGAGTTTGACCTTTTTTATTTGAAAACGGGCGAAAAGCTTCAAAACGCGCCTACCTTTTTTGGGGATAAAAAACTAAGGAGCGTGGGATTCTTATCTCACTAAAACCACCCCGGTGGCCACCATCATCGGCTATAAGTGATATAAGATAAGAGCGAGTTAGACCTGGTTCTGACAAGATCTCCATATCTAGCCATATCTATGAATTCCAACTTAGAAGCCTTTGCACGGCAGTCGCATTTGCGGCCTCTTGTGACTTGACTAGTTAGCTTACCTACCTGTTTGTTTGAAAAGAAAATATTTGGTTTGTAACACACTAATCTTAGGAACTACTTGTCTGATTTGAAAAAATATTTTTGTATTGCATAGTCCATTTATCAAGGAAAGTTTAAAGCTACAAAACATCACGCTACGATTAATAGGTGTCGAGTGGCGAGCAAAACCGCGTGGTAGTACCGTATGCGTGTGTGTCCTGTAATGATAAGATTCTCTTTTTAATTATTCAGGTGAATTTACGCCTGACATGATGTAGGTAGGAACATAAGTTTATGTCTCTTGCTTTATTATAGGGAAAAGGTAGTATCGTTCGCGATTAACTCGTCTTTAGTATAACTAGCTAAGTTAATATTTTGTCGCATATGTCTGAATGAAATGGTTACTAGTTTGCCTAGATATTTAAAGTAGGTAGATTAGATTAGGTAAAACTGGTTGTCCTCTAAGCAAACGAGATGCCGACCATAATGTTAGCAATAACTAATTCAAAACTTATTGATGGTAAATTAATGTCTATGTGCATTTAATTTTAATGGGATAATGCGGAGCTAAATTACACCAGTCGGTATGTATTTAGGTAGGTAGGTACGATAGGTAGCTAACAAGTCTGTCTCGGAAATCAGTAATTAACCGAACCACAGAGACTTTATATTCAGAAAAGGTACCTTTTTTTTTGACGGGGGTAAAACATCCAATTACTTCTCCCGCCTTGGGTTAGGCGATAGGGAATGTCAGGTTCTTACTGACTAAAAATCACCCTGTTCCTACTCCTGCTCTTCGAGCTGGAGCCCTGGCAGCACGTTAGGCCTTCCGCGGCACCATTAGATACATACATACGTAACTAATATAGGTATAACGTAGTGGGTATTAGATACCCATGTAGTGTCGTTGTTGTTTCTCGGTTTGTTTGTTTCTTATTTATTTACTTTTCCAAATACGATGAAGGCGCACGAAGCCGTCGGTCATTAAGAACAATGTCATAACTAATTCATAGCACCAATTAACAAACGACTAAAACGATAATTAACCAGCCAATAGATGGGAGGATGAGAGCAACCCAGTAATATAACGATGAATAAGGAAAACAGAAGTAATACTTAACTTATTTACTCTACCTATTAGAGGTAATTTATTTTCTTCACAACAAACTTTGAAACTTACTTTTATAATGTCATCGAGTCCACATCCCGACGAAATACAGTTCAGTATAACTCCAGTCACATTTAAGAATTTAAACTTTAGTTTAAATTAACACACGTTCATGATAAAACAACAGAAACCATTGTTATCCGGCTTATGACTCACACTAGAAAATAAATCCTGTTACGAACACTTGAATTTGCCGCAAATATGTCATGTTAAGTAATAGCTCTACAAATAAAACTTTATGCAGATAATAATGTCATTCACAGTATTCACATTAAACTTAAAGTCTTCTTTGATAATTGAATCAAATTATATTCCAACAAACTCAAAAACAACACTGAACACAAGTAAATCACAACTTGAACTAAACTTTACTAACTTAGAATAAGTACATGTTGTAAAATTGCTCAACTCTGTAATCTTGCAGTAATATTGACATTGAGTTATTTGTTAATAATAAGTTAAACTTTCAGCCGGAAATAGTCAGTATGCAATATTCAATGATAGATATCAATAAAAAATAACCTTTTACGTTTATTCTACATCATAGCTAAGGCATTTTTTGTAAAATTGAAGGCCATTACTCGTGTTGTAGAGTAAGCCTTTGTACCATACAATAGAGTCGCTTTTGAGAATACTCCTTTTACCGCGTTCCGTTTTTCCATATTCTGATTGGAATTCAGTGGTCACAGATAAAAAATGACGGTATTTTGACATCTCTACTAGAACATAAATTATTTATTTGTGTTTGAAATTCTACTTCATTTGTTATTTGTAAATCTATAATGATGGGATTTTGTTATTGTCAAATTACTTTTAGTTTTAATAGACTATAAATACAAGCTTTGCGTTTAGCTGTGTGCAACGTGCTAACGTACGTAAAAAAATGTAGGAGACTCTAGTAACACACATATTTTTATAAACACTCTTCTAAGTACCAATTCGAAAGTTTTGTTGACAACCTTATAAATTGTTCTTTGTTCATTTATTTTTTGTCCTTATTGTAACCAATTCTGAATCTCAGAATGCAGAATGCAGCTCTTAATCAGATGTTTGTCGCTTGGTTTAAACTCTATAGCATGTAAATTGTATAGAATAGTATGGCAATTAACGGCTTGCAATCTCTTTTCAGATGCAGTTAAATAATCAGCTGAAAACTAGATAGTGAAAATCTGAACATATCTTTAATTGCAGAATAATTATCCTTGTCCATAAGTCAAACATAGTTCAAAACAAAAATATATGTGAATGTTTTTGCATTTTGTTATACTCCACCTAAAACTTAAGTAAAGGTTTAATTCTCTGAGCTTTAGGTTTCTCTGAGCACAAAAATAGGTAGACCGGTGGTTGAACTCTCTTTTCCCGCCGAGTTCAATGTCATCGCCAGTACTGCTACGAATATGATTTATTTAACTAATACGTAATACACGTGTAGATATTATTATAGCTTTGGAGCTTATCCAGAGATTAGGCTCTATTAATGTCTGGTTGACTGTTGACTGATGATGATGATGATGACTGAAAACTTAAACCCTAAGGTTGACTGGTAGAGAATGCCATATGGCATTAAGTTCGCCTTATGTACCATAAACAAATTATGTACATTAAAGAATAAATAAAATAAAAAAAATAAAAATATTTAATTCTTAGAATATACCTACCTATTATTAATCAGTTAACCCAAGCAATCAATTGATATGAATAACTAGGTACCTACTAACTTACACATTATTAGATACCGTATTTGATGATTATCATACCTACCCAAAAAAAATTGAAATGTGTCCGACTACAATTAAAAACAACAAACATCTGCATTCAATACGTAAAATGATTTCAGCTCCTATAAAGTTAAGGTTATGTGATGCAGGAGTTAGTTACTGCTATTGTTAAAAAAAACACCCTAATACAATTGACGGTTTTGTTTTCGATGGGGTTTTGTCAAAAATAAGGGTGCGTACCACGTGGCACACCAACTCAAGAAGACTTAGTATTTTCTAGCGGACATACAGATGGCGCTGAACTTACATATAATTATGAAATAAATACATTGTTTTCAGTTCGATTCAATAGTTTTTATATTCTAAGCATTATGATCCTATCTATTTCGACGATGTCATTTTCTCGATACTTCGTAATTCGTATATTTGTATTGATCCGATTTGCGTGATTATCTTTTGTTTGGTGGAGGATATTTTACAGTTGATACTATTGTCACTTGGTCATCATCTGATGATGAGAGCCCAGGGAAATCGAGGGCAACCTTAAAATTTTAAGCACATTTTACGTTTACTCTGACAATTTCGTAAAATTAATCAACCATTTATGTCCGATCATTATCATTTCATATTAATGAGATGATGATGATGGAAGTTACTTCTTCTCAACAGTTAGGAGTTTGAATAATATTCTTTCAAAAGTAAGTGTTTAGTACACTTTTTTATCATACCAGTATTTAGTATACCATTATATCGAGAAAAATGTTCTTTCAGGCTATTAGGTTGACCGGATTGTAGAAGGTATTTAAATCTCATTAATATTTAGGTTTTAGTTAGGCAGAAGACTGGATATGGCCCAATTTTATTTATTTGTGTTAGGTGTATCTTCACTTGTTTTTCCATGTACCTATGAAACTGAAGTAAGAAATAAGAAATAAAACTACGTTTAAAAGCCGATTTGAAAAAGTTTAAAGTAAAAACAATAAAAAATATTATAATCTATTGTACTCAGTACAAAACAACAACACCCAGTAAAAGTTAAGAAGTCAGTGCCACAAATCCAGTGCAAAATATTAATTACCTACCAACGCTAGACATACGCACATTAGTTTTCAAAAATAGTTTCGTTTAGTACGGTACTGAGCACAAAGGAAAATAATTATTTTTCGCTTTGTAAATTTATTATTTAAATTATATTACAATTACTGATAATAAAATAGGAAATGTCCCTTATAAACATTTAACGAACCACTAGAGACGTAAAGTTTATTCGTTGATAGGTATTTTTTATCTGTGGGAATAATCAATAACGAAACGAAACGTTGGCGTCGCGTCGAGTTCAAGCTCGGAACAATAACTAGGCATGGAAGCCAGGCTAAAATAGTAATTTACAAACGTATATCTGATGCTCTCGCTCTTTACACAATTTTGCGTATGCGAGAATGAGACCGCAAACTAAACATAGTTCTATAATAATTTGCAGGTTGTCACAACTTTCAGTGGACTCATTACAATCTTATGTCATTGGACTTATTCAGCATACTACCAAATTCAAAATCACGTTTTGACGTTCTATGTTTCACAGTTTCACTCAAGTTTGACACCTTCCTCACTTTGCCGGATTATAGTACTGAAGTGTCACCGTGGTTGTATTTACGGCTCCTGATTATAAAAAATGTTTTTTATGGAATTAGCGCAAAAGAAAGGAAGAAAGGAAGTGTATGGTCGTTCTTTATTATGTGTTTTCCTTAATAAAAATACGTCTTGTGTGATTGACGGCTGCAATTCACATTTAGGAAGAAAAGAAAACAGTGGTGAAAAAATACACTTTCATTCGTAAGTTTTTGATATGTTTTAAAATAAATTATATTAGAAATACCGGTAAACTATAAATAAATGTTACTTATTTATTGTCGTACTTTTCAATTGTAAGCCTAAACAGTATTATTCCATCTTTTCCTAAAAAATCTAAATCAATTTTCTAAGTCAGTTTTTAAGCTAGTGATGTGGTCATGTTACATATCGATATTTTAGTTAGGCTTTGAAGTTCTTTATAGTATAGACGTCGTTTAGAACCCGAATCACATGATACCTTTGATGATTTGACAGACCACGACTACATTTTGTACCCATCATCTATTACGGAATATTCTAAAAATGTCATAGAATACATAATCGGCTTTATTGGAAAGAAATTAAAAAATCTTTACAATGCGAAAAATGCATAGAAAGTCTTGAAAACACGGAGAGTATTCCTTAAAGATCTTTGATATCTTTAAATATAGAGGTAGAAGAGGCCTATTTAAACCAACATATGGCTTAACCAAGATCTGTCAGCTGACCGAAAAAATTATAAGAGAATATCAAGTGCATATTGATTCAAAATCTCTCGGTAAACCAAAATAATTATTAGATTGATTAATAAAGTTTCAGCAAATGTGTTGCCGTCAGAAAATTTTCGAGAAAAAAAAGATTATTCATTAGAACAATCTTTCTATGTTGATCACAGAAATCTTATAAAGTCCATAGCACAAAAATATTTTAAACTTAGGATACATTATATTTAAAAGTCAATGATAAACACATAATAGTGCACCACTACCACGGTTTGTAAATATGCTTTGTTTGTGAGCAATTAAATTATCTTTTTAATATTGTGTTTTATTTTTGAACCCACGACATCCAGATTAAGAACCTAATGTACGTTAGACCACAGCAGCAAAACTTTCAGGTACCATAATTTATCGATAAAATATATTAATTTATTCCCATCACTAGCATATTTACAAGTAGTGACAACCTGCATAATAACGAAACGAAACAATACACATATCTCTTTCTTGTACACTATCAATACCATAAGTAAAAAAAAGATGAATATATGGAGTGTAGTTGTTATTTTAGCCTGGCTTCCATGCTTTAGTTATTGTTCCGAGAGTTCAAGCCATGTCAGAGCGTTGTCATGACACACGTGGACGAATGACAGCTTTATCGGTTCACTCTTTCTATTTTCTTTAGCGGGAAAGAGATGTAATTCGATCAAATCGGTATTTCGACCTTGATCAGATTTTGAACTGATTGATTACTGAAGATAAAACATTTTGAAATTGTGTCCATGTTAGAGACCACAGAACTTCTCCCAAGTTTAGTATTGAATGTTGATCGTGAAACAGAAAATCAATTAAAGCAAGAATTTCCATTTGTAAGACGTGTGTTAAATAGAGGTATGCTTTGCATTTTGAGTTATTCTTTGGACACGTATGGTTCAGTTGTAACAGTTGTATTTTCGTGAATATCTTTACTTGTTTCAATGTTAATTTTTAAATACCTATAATATTTAATATTAATTCCAGTCGTTGCGTGGCATAATAGATTCGTCGAAATGACTAAAACTCGAAGTGAATTTAGATTTTTGGTGTACGCCGGTGCAATTTTCGTATGTTATTTTATGTATGGAATGCTGCAAGAGAAAATAACAAGAGGAAAATATGGAGAAAATAATGAAAAGTTCACATGTACTCTATCGCTAGTTCTAATACAATGTATTGTGAATTACATCTTCGCTCAAATCCTAATGGTAAGATATTTAATAATTCTTAATATAGTCTCCTATCTATCTATCCCTGAATAACCGGAATATTCAAATGCAGTACAGTAGTACTTTGAGCTCAAAATAATAAAGAAAAAATGTTAATGCATTGAAATTGAATATAAACTAAAAGACAATTTTAACTAGACTTTCAATAATGATTTCCCTTCATTGGACTAATAAGACTTCCTATCTGGAAGTCATTGGGAGAGGCCTATATTAGCAGTTGACACCATGTGGCTGATATGATGATGGTGGACTAATAAGATTGCTTTTCAAAAGGCAATAATTTATTAGTGTCTGAAACATATGGAAGGATATAGTAGATAAAAGACTTAAGTAACAGTAAAATCTAGAATGGAATGACTTTTTCATGTGTTCACTTACATTTTATTTTTTCAGCCTATTTTGACACTTAAAGTATGTATTATAATGTATGTATGTACTTTCATTTGTCCAAAGTTAGAATAGTTATCTTAAGTAAATTAAACCAACAATTTTGGGTATCAAATTATTTGTTTGTTTCTAAATGTTTATTTCCTGTAGTGAAAAGCAGATAACGAAACAAACTTACTTTCTTTAATCAGTTATACATTATTGCATTACATAATTTACTCGTCTTATTCTTTTTAACCCGTTGAAATCCACCCCCTAAATTTGCTCATACAAAAGTAGTCTCTAAACATTACAAATAAGGTCTATAATGTAATGTAATATTAGTGGAAAGCGGTCACCGGTGACCGCTTGGTGATTTATGGGTTAAGTGACAGCTCTCACCTTGGAAAAATCCAATTTAAATGCCGCTACACTATTTTATTTTAAATGTAACAAAATTATTAATATTTTTCCAGGTATCTAATAAACGTGAAGTGGATACTACACGGAGAGTATATTATTTCTCTTCAGCTTTGACATACCTACTTGGTATGGTCAGTTCCAATATGGCATTGCAGTGGATCAATTACCCAACACAGGTGAATAAATTTTTAATGATTGCTTATAGTAAGAAATTCAGTCCTGTCTATGATAAGAAACTGCTGATTTACAGCACCATGTTAAACTGTCAAACACCAAGCGGTCACCGCAACCTATTGTTCTATAATTGTGTCTACAAAACCGGTACTCGACGAGTTAAACTGTCAAACACCAAGCGGTCACCGGTGACCGCAACCTATTCTTCTATAATTGTGTCTACAAAAGCGGTACTCGACGAGTTAAAGTCTATCTAGGCCTTCCCATTGTAGGAATTACTAACAAAAGTAATATCATTGTGCATGCAACAAGCTGCACCACAAGTGTTTCGTGGTTCTCCAGAAATAAAGCCATGGATAACTAAATGTTCAGGCTGTTGGATCGAAATTGAAACATTTTTCAACATTCATTTTCTCCTACAGTTTTCCTGTTTTTTTACCAAAACACACTCTTCTGTTGCTTGCCTTAAGAAGGCCAAAATTTAACACTTTAAAATTAAACTAGATGAAGCTGCGATTTTTTGATTGACTACTCTGAGATATAACTTTGAAGACAAACTTAGAGGTGTTTCACAATACTTTGTGGCAAAAGTATTATGAAATGTTAGGGAAATTAAATAATTATCGTAAGGAACATGCATATAATAAAAGAATTAGAAGAACTTACTAAGTATTTATATATTTTTTTAATGTTGCCTCACACTAGGATTTTGCCTTGTGTTGTGTTGACTTGACTTATAAAATTAATACAATAAATAAAAAGAGAGGTGTAAAGAAGCTCTAACTATCAGTGTCTGTCTTTGGCACCACAGCTACTGAATAAAACAGATTTACATTTACATCTTTTTTGTGACTAGTTTGTAGTTAAAAAAAAAAATCCCTTTTTAATATTCCTTATTCAACACCGAAATTCTGTACTAGTCTTTAATGGGTTCCTTTTTTAAATTTTTCAACAGGGCCTTCAAAATACTACTTGTATACTATTTTTATTTCTCAACAACTTTTTGGGTCAGAAGATTTTAAACCGATGTAAAACTTTTTTATTCTTCCAATTTTATTACTATTGCCAACCATGACATAGATTTTTAACAATACAATGATAGGATTGCTTGCAAAAAATATATTTTATTAGTCATGCATGACTTAGCAATAATATTCTACAATTAACATGCAGTTATGGGAAATTATAATTGCAGTAAAACTATCTTTATCAATATTGAAGTGTCCTTATTTTATAGTTTGTTAATTTTCCTAATTATATTTTCAGGTGGTGGGCAAGGCAGCTAAACCTATACCAGTGATGATACTTGGTGTGCTTGTTGGGCACAAGTCTTACCCGATGAAGAAGTATTTATTTGTTCTGCTAATCGTTGTTGGTGTAGTAATGTTCATGTACAAAGACCAAGTCAAGAAGACGACTGTTGACGACTCTTCCTCATTTGGTATCGGGGAACTGCTGCTTCTTCTTTCTCTAACCATGGATGGACTTACTGGTGCCGTGCAGGTAATATTAATTCACGTTACCTCACACTGTGATTTTCACTGCTGTGAACATTCACTACCACATTGCACCCAGACCCAAAACAGCAATTTGGGGATAAAACAAGAGGTGCCCCTGCCAATGTAGGAATCGCTACACTTTACAGAGAAGCCTGGCCGGCTACCTAGCCACTGCACTAACCATGCAGCAGAAATTAATGTTCTTTTTGACATCAAACAAAACTTTCTAGTTTTAACCTTAAGCAAGTGTAGTTTGCATAAATACAATACGAATTAAAAACTTTTTGACATAATGAGTAACATACCGTGTGATAATATAAATAGGAGACCTTTTGTATATTATAAATAGGAGATAGAGGGACAGAATAGGATGGCATTTGTCCATCAAAACATACATTTATGACCTTTTTTTGGTGATGAAAAAATCACCGAAGGACTCCTCCTGCTGCCCTGGGTAAAGTGTTAAAGAGTGTTAGACTAAATATCACCCCGTTCTTACTCCTACTTTGAGCTGGAGCCAACTTAATCCATTATGCTTTATCCGCAGTCCCAGACGACCCATTGACCTTATTATTCTGAATGTTAAGGCTATGTACACAGGTGTATCTATTGTTCTACTGTTCAATTATTCACTAGTGATGTCTCTCATTATGACATTTAATTAACCTTTAACCATTATGCATGCAATTAAAAGTAAACTAATGTGACAGGCTAGGTTACTGCGTAAAAACAAATATACCTACACAAATGTCAATTACTTTTGTTAGTTGTGTTATTTATTATGTAAGTGTGAATAATTAATGATAAATTAACACACTAGACATGAAAAAACACTTACTTTGAATGACATTACATAATTTTTTATCTGAGCTCACTACCGACACTGTGTACTTGATAGTAGAATACTATTTTGAGAATGAATTTGGGTCATTAGGTTTCTGAACCGGTTCTTTTTACAAAACAGTGTCTAGACGATTTTGGTTGGTTTTATCATTGTAATTTCAAATATTTTATGAATGTTTGATATTTTTTGAAGAAATTAATTTGTGATTTTTTAAATTGCCCACTTCATAAGTTTTTAAGGACTTGGAAAAAGTACTATGCAACATAATAGTTATCGAATAGGCATGTAAGACTTTTAATAAGTGCCTCAGACCTGTAACAAATTCTGACATCGACATTATTATTAAAAATAAACAAATAACATTCCCGACACCGGGAGGTGACGGGCATCAGCGACCCCGCGGGCTACCATCATTCCCAATGCTCCAGGGAGAACTCACCGTATCTTTTTCTCCAGCTTGCCTTTATTGGCTGGCTGGAGTGAATGATGACGAGGAACAGGTCTCCCACCTCTGGCTTGCCTTCATTGGCCGTCCAAAGTCCGAAAGCACTGATCCTGCTCGAAGGGTAAGAAACTATTCGTTAGTCGCGAATGGGCCAGTGATGCAGGATGCTTCGGCAGGAGCAGATGATCTGAGTAGAAAGCTGGTAGTAGTTTCTTCACCCTTTAGCCACTTGGATTTTTGTTGTCCTTCTGTTGCTATATCCAGCATCCATTCCCAGGGTCCGGTCGGTGTGTTGGCGAGTCTCCGCCTGCCATTTTTACGTGTAGTCTTACGTTGTTTCGGCATAGATCCCAGTTTAAAAGTCACAGCAACCCATCCATAGCCCTACCCTTTTCCCACTGTATAAAATAGTACACTAACCGGGGACTGTTCTTGGAAAGTTCTCTCATAAGCCTCCCAAATGACCAGGACCCTGTGATCTCGTGACTAATAAAGGCTTACATTTAAATTAGTTTATAAAGGTTGTTACTCTTTTCTGCAAAATGTACTGAAGGGATCCAAATGACATTTTTTACGAAGGGCCACACATAAGGTTTGTTTTATCCCAGTAATGCTGGCAAAGCTGCTGGATGAAGTGGCGTTGCGTAGGCGTTAGGTAGGTCAGTCGTCGTTGTTGTGAACCGTACTTAGCAATTTGCCTAAACTAACTAGTAGGCACATGCATTATTACCTATAATAAAGTCTACATTGGACAACACGGAAATACCTAATGATACGGTTGACACGGAGCTACTGTTTTTAAGAAACATTTTCTAAGGATAATCATGTGAAAAGGCTCAAAAATGTATTGCTACTATGTTAATCTTACCAAACTTTTACTTTACCAGGAGCGCATCAAGAGTGAATCTTCGCCGTCCGCCTATGCCATGATGCTGAACACAAATATGTGGTATGTACCCCCTTTATAGGTATTTGATACCTATACATAAAGTATATATTTTAAAGTTTCCTTAAAAAAGCCATTTATCATATTTTATTTTAGTTGTAAACCTTGCGAAATTACTTCATCAACTAATAATATCTTCATTACCATCATCCCTAGTCCTTCCCATCATCGTACCACAAGGCAAACGACGACGCGAATCGCCTCGCTTCAAGGTTCGTTGTGCGATCTAAGAAGTGGAGTTTTTTGCTAGAGTCTGTGTTTCCTGAAGGGTGTCTTCAAGGCCCCAGTGAATAGGTTACTTATGGGCAGACGTGCTCCATCATAGGCCGCATCATCGCTTACCTCCAGGCGAGATAGGGACCAAACGGTCCTGGACCAAACGTCGACCAATAAAATATAAAAAAAAATGTTCCTGCCCCTATCCCAAGTTGCTTGTTGTTGGCAAAATGTGGTTTTCATCCGAACTCCCTTGTAAACGTAATCCCATCACTAACTTTTTGTTTATATAACCTTACATAATCTATATTTTTATTGTCCTCTTACTTTCATTTATTAATAACATATCAATGTATAAGCTGATGAATTTGCGAATTATATGCCTTAAACATATGTTACTGATACAACGCAAAGCGATCGATAACTTTTTGCAACTGCAAACTTTAATTTTACTATTTAATTTAGCATCATCAATATTGAGCGAATATTTGCTAAGTATCATATTGTTATTGTCTGAAATGTCCTATTATCACCTCAAAATTTGTATTTGTAACCACTCTATGCTGTTTTTAATACTTACAAAAATAATTATGTTTGTATGCACTGGGTGCGGCTTCGGTCAATGAATGATTAATAATTTTTCACATGATTATGCATATTTCTTAGGTCTGGATAGATGTATGTGAAATATTTTGAATAAATTGTTTCCATTATTAATTGATTTAACGATAAGCTTACTATTTAATGATGATGACGTACTATTTGACGTTAAAACATGACTCGCAATACACAATCTCATAATTTTTTATAGAAACCTGTCATTTTTGACAAGCTGCAATAAGTATTCAATTTGACTTGTTGTTATCTACTGTTTCAAACGTATTCACGTCGACAACGACCAATTAGGGCGCTATGACATTAGGTGGTGTCACTAGTAAATTTGAGTACGCCAAACAATATATTCTTTAGTTTGACATTGTGAATGTAACGGAGTACCCATTGGATTTGATATAAAAATTGATAGAAAAACACAGACACTTAAGTTCTTCACGCATTTTACCCATTAGTAAGGTATATTATATCTATTTAGCTGCGATATGACCCCTATTACTAATGATTTAATTCACGTGCTGAAGAGCCATGCTTCTTTTCGTGGAAGAGCCATGCTTCGGCACCAGTAGGCTGGTTCGACCATAGTGATACTACGACCTCCTGAAACAATAGCTGCGTTGCGTTTTGTCGTGTGAATGAGGTTACTAGAGGCTCAATCCTCCCTCTATCCCCAAATCCTTTAAAGGCCAGCAAAGCACTTGTAACTACCTCGGTGTTGCGAGTCTATCGGCGCGGCGGCACGCTGCCAATTGCATAATAATGTTCGTCGGCTCGTTTGCCGCTTACTGTTGTCAAGTGATCTATAATATAATGATTTAATGCAAATAGGTAGGTGAACCAAAGTTGAATAATACAAAGTAAGTGTATGAAAAACGTTAAACGGAACGTACAATGATTTGACAGTGACATAAAGTATGGCCATTTTTAGCAGATTATCGATTTCTGTTCAGAAATGGCTGATGGCGTCTATCTCTTGAAGCTTGTGTGGCCGGCCAAACCTAATTTCCTTCTGTTCAAAGGCAGTCACAGTTAGTCAATTATTGCTATGGACGTTTACGTGTAGAGTTCGGTTGTTTGCCGGTCGGCTTAAGTGTATGTCGCGATGCGTCAAACTTCAAGTGCTCCCGTTCCAAAAATGTACTGCAGTGCTTCAATACCGAAGCTGATTGAGACCAAGATCCAAAACGAAGGTAACGCAACAGAAATGATATTAAACTATCCTTTAATTAAAATATTTGCAGACATATCTAGAGTCATACCATGGTTCATGGTGCTGGTAGATACTGGTGAAGACTTCTGACATGGATACTAAAATTTCACTCGGTTTCTGACTTCTTTTCTTGAATTCCTAACAATATGAATTGCAGTGCATTTTGTCAAAATATACAAGAGTATCATTATATCTACCTAAAATTTATCTCAACGGGTTGTGTAGATCATGTTGGTAGGTACTATTAATTCATACTGGACTCTGTTAAGATTCCATTGCAATCTTAGATAATTGACTAATGACTATTACTGGGTATCATCATCATCATAACATCACCCCTTTTATCCCCGAGGGGATAGGCAGAGGTGCACATCATGCCACTGTACCTACAATGTAACATGCACTTATCACTATTTATTTGGGTGTGCCTATTGTCATATACCGGGCACAATTCCAGACTCCGTGCTACTACTGAAATTTTTCAAAAAACTCAGTAATATTTTGCCTGCCCCGGGAATCAAACCAACCACGACCAACCACTCGGCGAATGAGGCAGTCATTACTGGGTTTATAAAAAAAATCTGAGAGTCTGGAATGGATTATATTAATATAGCAATAGGTTTACTCCCCATTACATGAGTCTCATAACATAAGTAGTAAAAAGTGGGTGTTACATTGTACAGTGGCATTGACTCGTTGAGTACCGTCATTATAGGGAAATGTACCCACCGACCAATAATGACCAGACATATGTCATTAAAAACAATTGTCACTCCGAACATGTGGTTCACACAGTCATTACCCATAATGAATTGAGACTAGCCCCATAATAACAATGATAGTCATGAAAAAAGTTTTCTAAGGACATTATGTCTGGTGTTTATTCGTCGGTGGACATGAGCGAGCGAGCTGCTTGAATATTTTGATTATCACTTAATCATCTAAGCAGTGTTTTATTAGCTCTTTGAGTACCGTCATTACAGACACAATTAAAGAACAATAGGTTGCAGTCACCGGTGTCCTCGCAATGTTTGACAGTTTAAGTTGATAATTTTTTTGTATAAAGATGATATCTTAGTATCAGTAAATCTTAATGATGCTATAATGTTCTGGAAGATCTCTCCGTCTTTATCGTTACTACCTGATACTTCTGGGAAATATGTGTGTCTATAAAAATATTCAGAATCTCCTCAATCCCCTAATCCCCAAGTGCCCAATCCTAGAATCCCTGACTCTCTAAACGATGGCAACACTCTTGTGTTGCGGGTGTCCTTGGGTTGCCCAGACTGATTTCCCTTCAGGTAATCGGCCTGCCGTATTGCAGGCCTATGGCCTATCCCATTAAATAAAGTTTCTTACATGACTCGAGGACTGACTAATAGGGTAGTTGCCTAATTTTTATTTTAATATCCGTCTGGTAGATTATTTTAAAACATTAGACACGTATTTTTTATTTTCTTACAGAAACGAATACTTTCGACGATATATTGATTTGAAATGTCACGTGACGTCACTTCTATGTACATTTTATACGTAGAAATGACGTTTTAGCCCCCACTCCTAAACTTTGATTCGTTTTATCTAAGTATTGTTTTATTATACGACAAAATAAAAAAATACGTCTCTAATATTTTTTCATTACCTAAGACCTTACTAACGGACTAATTAGATTTTTAATTTTCATACCCTATCATCATTCCAATTCGTCAGACTAAAGGGTAGTATTGTCGGAAATTCTGGGAACCTTCCCTGACGATACTGGTGATGAGAATGAATCTTTTACACCAAAAACAACTGTTAAAGATTTTCTTGCCTATTTTTAAATATTTATTTAATATGTGGGTGTATTATTACTGTTCCAATCCGCTAAAATTAACAATTTAATTAAAAGTACAAAAAATCTATTTTGCTGGCCTATTCCACTAAAAAATAAAATCTACCGAAACAGAAAGCGTATGATAAACGAAACGTGCATTGAAACTGCATCTACATCATAATGACAGCTGGACATTGACAGTACGTTGGATTGTGACAATGACATCTCGTAGTGTATATCGATTTTAGTTCAGAAATGGCTTCCATAAAAGCTGTGTGTTAAGTGATTGTGAAAATGAAATTACTTATGAAGATATTGTCACACAGTCACAACTGGACAGCTTAAAGCAATAATACTCGTTGGCAAAACTCTATACGTGTAGATAAACGTCGCGAATATGAACGAGTTTGCCGATGCCGAACGGTTTAGGTGTTTGCCGCATTGCGTCAAGTGTCGAGTGGGGCGCCCAGGAAGTTAGTAACTTATTTTGTACGTTGATTTGAATAAATCTTTCTTAATTATATTAAGTGATCCGGTATATGGCAATAGGTTCACCGCCTATTACATGGGACTCTATAAATGGTGAAAAGTAGGTGTTACATTGTCCAGTGGCATTAGTGTCGTAATGTACCTACCCCTTTGGGAATATAAGGCGTGATGTTATGTTATGCGTGATCCACTGTAATCACAGTGAATCACTACCATGTAATCACATGGTGTTCTCCATAGGGAGTACCTTAATGCTTGTACTTTTATAGACTGCCTCAACCTCTGAGTTTTTTTACCAGTATTACCATTAACATAGAATTTTGTGCATTAGATATTTTTTCAAGTGTTACCAATATTATGTGGTTTTCACTTAATCTAATACGTACATGTACATGTCAGCGGTTTCGGAAACTGTTACATCGATTTTCTTGAAAATTCCTTAATAGATGGTTTCAGGGGTGACAAAATATCGTTTTGACCGTGTTCTCATTTTTTTTTATATTATAATAAATTTTAATACACAGGACATTCAAGTTCAAATGAAGAAGAAGTCCGAAGGTTTCTTTTTTTATTTTATTAAAATGCTACCCCAAGCTAGGATTTTCTCCTGTGTCGTGGGTGCGTTTACAAACATACAAGTTCACATACACAATGACACCCAGACCCGAAACAACAATTTCGGATCACATAAAGTGTAGTTCCGTTCGAGAATGGAACCCGCGATACGTTGCATGGCAGCCGGTTGCCAGCACCAACCGTACAGACATTCTTTTAGTTCCCCTTTTTTGTTCTATTAAATTTTTTGCTCTTTTGCAGTATTTCTCCTTTTATTAAAAAAAAAATATGTACTAAAAAACAACAAGCCAAGGTCAGTCATCCAGGTATTTTTAAAGTAAATTATCGTCAGTGCGCCTGCCAAAACTGATATGTGCAAATATTTAGTTTTTTTTTTCTTAGCTAGATATCCTTCAAATCGGATAGTGCATCGATTACAAAAACAAATATGTGTTATTTCCCTATAGAAATCGATTAGACCAATCTTATATGTGCACTTTCTGGCCATGACAAATTAGTTATGTGTTCAATTGGTTACGGTTATGTGACATAAAACGCACATGTCAGAATTTGCAGTATCACATAGATAGTTTAGCAGATCGAATATCAACAGTTTTTGTTTAAAATTTTTACCGTTTTCTAAGATAAATAAATCTGATAGGTGCACCAAAATCGAAAATACATTTATTGGGGATGAACAGTACCATGTTATCATTTTCACTTTTATCTCAGTTATTTTTATCATAATTTTTGCCATCATACTGCATTTTTAATTTATTGCTAAGTCCATCAACCTTTCAGTGCAAGTGTAAAAAAAAGTTTATTGTCTCCTCCTGAAAACTTGACCAAATGCACATAACAGTTTTGTCAGGTGCACCAACGTTATCTGTTATTGTAAAATGTGTCTTCACTATGTGGTAGTTGACACCTTAAAGCCGTTTTGAGATATGATGATTGGTATTAGAATTGTAGTTTCACTAGAGGCACGGTGGAGATAAAATCATTGAAAAATATTGATGAAATTATAAAATTGATTCGGGACACAAAATATAACGATTTATTATTTTCAAAATGAAAATATAGTTATTTCAGGCCTATCTTGCTCATAACTTCCTATGTAGTACTTTATTACAAATATTTTATAATGCAATGCACTATAATGCATTTTTCTGAATATTTTAAAAAATGTACAATATATTCCTTACCGTACATAGGTCACCAGTGATCGCTCTCACTAACTACATTATAAACCTTATTGCCAATGTTTAGCGACTACTTTTGTATGAACAAATTTAGGCGATGAATATCAATGGGATTAGACTGTAAAGTCTTTATTGAATATTATTCTAGTTTTAAAAACAATTATAACAAGTCAAATTTGATACTTCTGTCGCAAACTCACAAACACTTTTCTATAAAATTTTTATCACAACTCGTCACAAAATGAGATGACATATTTTATGAATTTTGAATATTTTAATTGCAGGTCATCAATGATCCTGTCAATAGGTGTGTTGCTGAGCGGTGAAATATTCAAGTTCATTGTGTTCGTGTCAACTTACCCTGAAGTTATAATATACCTTATTGGACTGGCGTTTGTTGGAGCTTTGGGACAAATGTTCATATTCTTTATGGTAAGAACAATAAACTAACATACTACAACTATTCAAATATCAGCATGGTATATTTTGTATTAAATAATTAATTGATACCTATTTCACCTAAAATAAACTAAATTGAAAGTTGACTAGATAATTTATTATTAAATATATGATAGAAAGGTGGTTATTTTAGCCCTTTGAGATTTTTATCTACAAGAAATTCGTAACAAAATAGTGTTCACAGTCTCTTTATCATGGTTTGAAATTATAAATATTTTAATACATCAGGTGGCAGAATATGGACCGCTGCCATGCTCTGTGGTGACGACGACGCGGAAGTTCTTCACTGTGCTGACGTCGGTCATCATATTCGGTAACGCTTTGTTACCTCGACAGTGGTTGGGGGCTATCCTAGTATTTACAGGTGAGCAAAATCCTCTTATCTATGATATACAAATGTGAAAAGTCACTACTCTTTTGCGTGCACATATTAGATCAAAGTTGAATCTTTTATTCCAAGTGGAGCACAAGGGCCAATTTTAGAACTAAAGAAACCTCTAATAGTGTGATCTTAAAGCGAATGTGACAATTAAGAAAGCCATGATTTTAAAAATTTGGCTTGTCCAATAATAGAATAGAAAAATCTTTATAGTACACCAATAATAATATAGTACATATAGAAAAAGGTAACTACAAACGTAACTAAAAATAATATTGGCCACAAAAGCGGTCTTATCACACTAGGTCCGTATCTGATATTGGTGTCAGAGAAATGAAGGGAACTTAAGTACCAGAGACATAAATTTTTTCAATTATCAGTTTAACACTTTAGTATAGAAATTGAAATTGTAATCAATCTGATGATAGAATCTACATAGGTTGTGGAAACTGCAAAACGATTCATGAGTGTATAAAGGTTCTCAGTGAGAGAGAGAGAGAAATAAAGAGCTAGTCAGACAGTGAGTGTAAGAGTGTGAATGTGAGATTGAGTGTGAGAGTGTTCGTGTGTTCGTGAGAGTGTGAGTGTGTGCGTGAGAGTGTGAGTGTTATCTAGTGAGAGAAGATTGAGAGTGAGTGACAGTGGGAGTGGGAGTGGGAGTGGGAGTGGGAGTGGGAGTGGGAGTGGGAGTGGGAGTGGGAGTGGGAGTGGGAGTGGGAGTGGGAGAGAGAGAGAGAGAGAGAGAGAGAGAGAGAGAGAGAGAGAGAGAGAGAGAGAGAGATTACATACAATATGAAAATTAAGGTGAGATGGTGACTATATTATTTATATTTTTAATTTCAGGATTGTTCCTCGATATGTTCTACAGCAAAGGGAAGACATCTGTGAAAAGAGTATCGGAGAAATGATAATTTCATTATATTTTTTCCTGACATTTTGCGGTATGACCTCAATTCCTAACTCTGACATAGATCTTATGATTATTATTCACAATGTTGATATCTTCACACTAAAGTCATTGTACATTACATAGAAGCTTGAAACAGTATTTTCACACACTGAAATATCTTTAAGATAATCAGACTATTTAGGCTAATGTTAAGTTAAATATTATTTTACTCGCAAGTCAAGCTAGTCAAATTCAATACTTTTATCAAAATGCCAAGAACGAATTCCTATGAACTAAGAGGTCCAAGGTTATGACGTAACATATTGTGTCTAATTTGTAATGATATTAACAGTAACTACCCTACTACTACGTAACGTAACTCCTCTATATATACGTATTTCTTTGTTCGCTTTGTTCTTAACTGAAAATCTAGGAATCACACTGGAGCCCAATCCTATCATCGATAAAATCTGAATGTTTGTGCGTGCGTTCTTTGTACGACGTAGGTGAACAATAAGAAGCGATTTTTTTACATTCTACCCCTAAGGGCATCAATTGTGGGGCCAAAGTTCGTATGGAAGAACTTGATTCTTTGGTTCGATCTGTTTCAAATTTTCCCTGACCATTGTTTAGTAGAATTGAATGAAGAACTGATTAATTTTTTTATTATAATTCTAATGTCTAATTAGGTCAAGGAAGGGTAAAGGGTTGCAATAAATCCTCCTTAGAATCCTCCTTGGTGTCAAGTCACATCAAAAATGTTCATGTTCTAAAATTCGAAATGTGACAATGACAGCCATATCTATTTACTTTTTAAGTGAGGTGGAACAGCTATAATTATTCTGCTTAGGACATTGTCAAATCGATTGAAACTATATAAATATTTAAACTCTATTTAACTCTCGATCGAACTGAAATAAATTGAAAATATTATAGATAAATTATTTTACAATACCACAGAATTATTTTACTTTATCGAATGAATTAAAATTTCGTATTAAGTAATTTATACATTAATAATAATGTCCTTAGGTGCGGCATCCTGTCTTGACTCAAATACCTGAGAAATATTTAAAAATATGTGTAGTTGATGTAAAACTGAAGTCGTCTACTTTTTCTATAGTCCAATAGTTCAGTACCTAATTTGGTAGTTTTACCTGCAAAATTTTCCGGGAGTTTTGAAAATCGGTTGTTTAATGTGATTTAATAGATTTTAATGTGGTCTTCTCGATTTCTATTTTGCAACTTTGGGCGTGCGCCGCTCACGCCACCATCTTGGCGTTGTTTCGCGTCTGTTTTCTGTGAGGCCGTGGTATCACTCCGGTCGAGCCAGCCCATTCGTGCCGAAGCATGGCTCTCCCATACTTTAAACTTTTTTTACAATATCTCTTTTCCTGCGCAACTTTCTACAATTTATGTCTAGACAGCTTCTTTGTAATTTTAAAATTTTTGTGCTGGAGCACCGCTACGTTCATTTTCATGAACATTTAAGGGGTCAAAGTCAAAGTCAAAGCATTTATTTCAATTAAACCATAGTTTGGTACTTTTAAAACGTCAACAAATACAAAATAAATAAAAGTCTGTCAGTCAGTCCGTCAGTGAAATTAGGTGAAGCTAGGTGCTCATTCCAAAATGTAGATTCGAATGGTTCCATTCCAAAACGAGCAAGAAACTCCATTCGTTACTCTTTTAAAAAAAGTATGTTCTACAATGTCTCTATTACATATTTTAATACTGTACGCTTATACATTAATACTGTACGGGGAAAAAATCCAATAAGTAATAGCGAATAATCTAGGAATGCCTCGGACAATTAGCATTTATTAAGGCCTTCCTACATTATTTGCTATTTGCTAAAGACCATTGACCACCCCCGGTATGGCTACAGCTATTTGCCCGTCAGCATCTGCGAGCCTGCCCAGTCTTCGGCTAGTGTCGGCTAAGGCACTCAGCCTCTCAGCCCAAAGGCGTCGTTCCTCAATCCGCTTCTAATTGTAATGGTTATAGGTGATTGGATATTTTTGTTTAAAAAGTATAAATATTTTGAAACAACTTGACTTAACAAATTCTGGGATAACTTCACGTATAATAATTAATACTTTATAAGACTTACCTTAACAGCGACGCGATGTACCTTTTACAATTTTTGCAGCACTTTTTTAACTAAAAAATTAAAAGTTAACCCTAAAAATCTTAATACTATTTCAAAGTCGTCACTCGCAAACAGTCAAAATATGTCAACATAAAACTTGAACGTGATTTCAAGCAAATGCGTTATCCTCAAACAGCCTATAATTCATAATATTTTTAATAACATTTATTTTATTAATTATAATAAAGGAATATGTGAATTAAACAATGTTCCATTTTTTTCAATGCATGTTCAACTAAAACATCAAAATTGGTTAAAACCGTAGATTTTATTTTACATTCAGTTTGTCGATACAGGTTCAAACGCATAGGTCCTCACTATTGTGAAGTTTTTTAAAAGCTAACTTCACTTCTATTTAACCGACACAAACGCAATCTCAGTAGTGATCTCAATTCCAAGATCGCCAAGAGTGCGCATTAATTATTGTATTCTTTTTTTTTATTCTTTGGCAAACGAGACTCAAAAAATATTGTATTGTTATTTGATTGGTTTTAAATTGACATTGAGATTAGTTTCAAGAGTAGGCCTACTGGTCTTGTGTCTCTAACATTCATAAAAGGCGTTCTTGCCATGTTCAGGCGTGCAACAAAATTTCGTCTATAAGGTGTACTAATGAACTAAAAGTCTTAAAAGACTGTAGTAATTAACATTCCATATATGATGGGTATGTTTCACTGTGTGTGTCGATATCTGAATTATCTAGGGACTAGTGATGTAATTGATTTACTATGTTTTTAATATCTTGGAGTTCAGAATATCTAATTCAAATATCTACACACACGGTGGAACATACACGTCATGGACGGAATGGTTAATTACTACCTACAGTCTTTAATACTTAGTTCATGACTACTTTTTATGCACGAAATTTTGATTGTATTATGAAGTTAAGGTAATACATGGATAAACTTGAACGCGGCATATACGCCATTTATGAATATTACAGACAAGACCAGATGTCACTCCGATCAAACATTTTGATATTCTGAACTTCAAGATATAAAACACATAGTAAGTCAAAGGAGATTATTTCGGCTGCATGCATTTTTGGACCATTACTGAAAGTGCCGCCGGCCAACGAAAAAAATTGTACGTATCGTCAGAACTAGCCGTTTGGAGCAATAATTATTATGGCGTAAAAGTTGTAGGATCCAAGATGACGAAGTTATACCTGTTCAAAGATTCATCGTTTTCATACATTTATTGCTTTCTGAAGGTGCTAGGAAACACTAATCAGCGATATTGCTAGAATAAGGTATCTGTGGCAATTGTGATGATGATAATGCGAGAAGCTTTCGCAGTGGTTTTTTTTAGAATTTCTTCTGTATGTAGGAGGGATCCTACATACCCCAGGACGAAAGGATTCAGTCTGCACTCCCGTGCTATACCGTTACTAACTACAAGGCACCTCATTCCAACTCCTACTCCGTCCCGGGCCTCGGTACCTATATGACGAATTATCCTCGACCTCGGACGGCTGTAGTCTTCCAATTATCATTTAATGTTACTATTTCAACTTATGGACACCAGTATACGTAGATATGTCCTAATACCGTGCAAAATCAAAACCCATATACCGCATGACAGTCATGGTGTCTGACCAACGCCCTATTGTCCCATATAATCGACAGTTAGTCTTCTACGAAGTGTTGGATCAGCTGCAATTTACGCATGTATGCATGCGGTTTAGACTCAATACGGCTAGATTGAATGTGGCCTCGTATATCCATAAGATATGGTCCGGTCGTCTCCCAAACTTCTTCCAAAGGGATAACTCCGGTAAGTTCTATCGTGAATGCGTCATGTGCATGAAGTAAGTTGGGTGTACGCACATACATCCAGCAAGCTTCAATTGCATTGATCTTCGGCAAGTTCAATGGTGCTCCATCTGAATGGACATACATCGTACATTGCCGAATCTCTGCAGAAGAAGTTTGGGTGACGACCGGACTATATCTTTTAGATATACGAGGCCATATTCAATCTAGCCGTATTGAGTCAAAAACGCATGCATACATGAGTACATTGCAGTTGATCCAACATTTCGTAGAAGACTAACTGTCGCTGTCGTGTGGTGGGTTTTGCTTTTGCACGGTATCAGGACATACTTATACTGGTACAAGCTCTACAAGATGAAATCATAACATTAAACGATAATTGGAAGACTACAATTGTCCGAGGTCAAGGGTAAATCGCCATATAAGTACCGAGGCCCGGGACGAAGTACGAGTTGGAACAAGGTGCTTTATAGTCCGCAACGGTATAGCACTCCCACCTATTTCCCCCAGGACGAGAGAAGTCAGTTGAAGCTATTCTAACAAAAAAAAAACAAAGACTACGAATACTTTTCGCATTATCATCCCAATTGCCCCAGATTCTTTATTCTAGCAATATCGATAATTATTTTGTGTTTCCTAGCACCTCAAGAAAGCAATAAATGTATGATACAGATGAATCTTTGAACTGGTAGGACTTCGTGACCTTGGATCCTACAACTTTTACGCCATAATAACTATTGCTCTTAAGGGCTAGTTCTAACGATACGTACCATTTTTTTTGTTGGCCAGAAAGAATATCTCCAAATAATGATCCCCTTTATCACTAGTCATTTGGTAGGTAATTCAAATATCGGCACACACAGTGAAATATACACGTCACGGATGGAATGTTAATTACTTCAGTCTTTAAGAGTTTTAGTTCATGACTACACCTTATAGACGAAATTTTGATTGTTTTATGAGGGTAAGGTATACTTGGTTTTAAGCCTGAACGTGGCACATTCTCTTTTTATGAATATTACGGACACAAGACCAGATGTCAGGCCCACCAAACATTTTCCTACCAAATGACTAGTGATGTAAATTATTCACTATGTTTTTTATATCTTAAAGTTTAGAATATCAAAATGGTTGGTCGGACTGACATCTGGTCTTGTGTCTACTTCATAAAAATCGTATCTGCCTCGTTCAGGATTAACGAAGTTTTATTTATTACCTTAACGTCATTAACCTATGGCAATAGGCTCACCCCCTATTACATGGGACTCATTGTTGGAAATTACCGTGGTAAAATGAAAAAACAATGGAGATTTCAGCAGATTTCAGCCGGCTTTATATAATCACCGTTGACTTTCCAGAAATTTATATGACAAGCCAATTTCTTCCTTTTTTTACAAACAAGTTCAGGTTCTGTTTACAATCCATAAACACTCTTTCTAACACTAGCCCTTAAACATAAGCTGAACTATATTTCACAATATAAATAAAATAACAAAGGTATACTTCCTACCTATGGCTCACATCGTAATAGTTAACTTAAATCAGTACTACATATAAGTTACACAGTTAAGTCTATCAAAAACACATAAGACTCGAACTGAAATACATTCTCATATGTTACAGTTTATCAACTAAAACAAACTCAATAAACCATATTCAGTTTA